TGTCCTCTTTGGAGAAGTGTCTATTTAGGTCCTTTGCCCATTTTTAAATTGGATTATTTGTCTTCCTTTTGTTAAGGTGTATGAAAGGTGTATGAGTTCCATGTATATATTTTGGATATTCATCCTTTATCTTACATTATCATTGCCAAATATGTTCTCCCATACAGTGGGCTCCCTTTTTGTTTTGTTGGTTTCTTTTGCTGTGCAGAAGCTGTTTATTTTTATGTAGTCCCATATTGTTTATTTTTTCCTTAGTTTCCTTTGCCCTAAGAGATGTATCTGTAAACACATTGCTATGAGAGATGTCTGAGATTTTGCTGCCTATGGTTTCTTCTAGGATTTTTATGGTTTCCCAACTTACATTTAAGTCTTTTATCCATTTTGAGTTTATTCTTGTGTATGGGCTAAGTTGGTGGTCTAGTTTCATTTTTTTTGCATGTATTTGTCCAATTTTTCCAGCACCATTTATTGAAGAGACTGTCTTGACTCCATTGTATGTTCTCGCTTCCTTTTTCAAATGTTAATTGAGCATAATGGCTTGGGTCAATTTCTGGGGTCTCTGTCCTGTTTCATTGATCTATATGCCTGTTCTTGTGCCAGTACCAGGCTGTTTTGATTACAGTGGCTTTGTAGTATAACTTGATATCTGGTATTGTGATTCCTCCAACTTTGTTCTTCTTTCTCAAGATTGCTGCAGCTATTGGGGATCTTTTTTGGATCCATATAAATGTTTGGAGTGTTCGTTCTAGATCTGTGAACTATGCTATTGGTATTTTAATAGGGATTGCATTGAGTCTGTAGATTGCATTGGATAGTATGGACATTTTAATGATCTTCATTCTACCAACCCATGAACACAGTATATTCTTCCACTTGTTTATATTTTCCTCTATCTCTTTTTTCAACATCCTGTAGTTTTCTGAGTACAAGTCTTTTAACTCCTTAGTTAAGTTTATTCCTAGGTGTCTTAATTTTTTGTTGCAGTGGTAAGTGGAATTGTTTTAGTTTCTCTTTCTGAGAATTCATTGTTGGTATATAAAAAAGCCATAAATTTTTGAGTGTTGATTTTATATCCTGCTACATTGCCAAATCCATTTAGATTTTTGGTGGAGTCTTTACGGTTTTCTATGTACAATAACCTGTTATCTATGAATAATGAGAGTTTTACTTCTTCCTTTCCAACTTGGATGCCTTCTGTATCTTCTTCTTGTCTGATCGTTGTGGCTAGGACTTCTGGTACTATATTGAATAAGAGTGGAAAGCAAACATCCCTGTCTTGTTTCTATTCTTAGAGGAAATGGTTTTAGTTTTTGCCCATTAAGTATGATATTGGCGCACACCCCCTACCGGGCATCGAGCCTACAACCCAGGCATGTGCCCTTGACTGGAATCGAACCCGGGACCCTTCAGTCTGCAGGCCGATGCTCTATCTGCTGAGCCAAACCAGCTAGGGCTTATTCCTGTTCTTGGGGGAAATGGTTTTAGCTTTTGCCCATTGACTAGGATGTTCCCTGTACGTTTGTAAAATATGGCCTTTATCATGTTGAGATATGCTCCCTCTATTCCCATTTTACTGTGAGTTTTTATCACAAATGGGCATTGGATTTTGTCAAATGCCTTTTCTGTGTCTATTGATATAATCATGTGATTTTTGTCTTTCAGTTTGTTTATGTGATGTGATTTGCAAATATTGTACCAGACTTGCATCCCTGGAATAAATTCCCCTTGGTCATGGTGTATGATCTAATTTGCTAATATTTTGTTGAGGATTTTAGCATCTATGGTCATCAGGGATATTGGCCTGTAATTCTCTTTCTTAGTAGTGTCTTTATCTAGTTTTGGGATTAGGATAATGCTGGCCTCATAAAAAGAGCTTGGAAGTATTCCTTCCTCTTGAATTTTTTTTTGAATAGTTGGAGGCATAGGTGTTAGTTCTTCTTTGAATGTTTGGTAAAACTCCCCTGTGACGCCGACTAGACCTGGGATTTTGTTTGCTGGAGTTTTTTATTACTGCTTCTATTTTCTCTGTTGTTATTAGCCTACTCAGGTTTTCTGATTCCATTTTGGGAGATTGTATTTTTCTAGGAATTTGTCCATTTCATCCTCATTGTCCAGCGTGTTGGCATATAGTTGTTCATAGTAATTTCTAATAATCCTTTGTATTTTTGTGGTGTCTGTGGTTACTTCTCCACTTTAGTTTCTGATTTTGTTGATTTGGGTCCTCTCTCTTTGTTTCTTGATGAGCCTGGCTAACAGTTCATCAATCTTGCCTATCCTTTCAAAAAAACCAGTTCTTGGTTTCATTGATTTTTTTGTATTTATTTTTAGTCTCTGTGTCATTTATTTCTACTCTAATCTTTATTATTTCCTTCCTTCTACTTACTCTGGGCTTTCCTTGTTGTTTTCTAATTTTTTAAGTTGTAGGGTTAATAGTTTATTGTTGGTTTTTCTTGTTTTTAAGGTTGGCCTGTAGTGCTATGAACTTCCCTCTCAGGACTGCTTTTGCTGTGCCTCAGATTTGGGGTTGTTGTGTGTTCATTTTCATTTGTTTCCAGGAAGTTTTTGATTTCTTTCTTGATCTCGTTGGGAACCCATTCATTGTTTAATGACACACTATTTAGTCTCCATGTGTTTGAATGTTTTGGGGTGTTTTTTACTGTAGTTGATTTCTAATTTCATTCTACTGTGATCTGAGAAGATGTTTAATATGATTTCAATCTTCTTGAACTTGTAGAGACCTATTTTGTGTCCTAACGTGCGGTCTATCTTTGTGAATGACCCATGTGCACTTGAGGAGAATGTATATTCTGTAGCTTTGGGGTGAAATGTCCTATAAATGTCAATTAAATCCATCTGATCCAGTGTGTCATTTAGAGTCACTGTTTCCTTGTTGATTTTTTGTCTGGAAGATCTATCCAGTGAAGTCAGCAGGGTGTAAAAATCCCCTATCATGATTGTATTGTTGTTGATCCCTCCTTAAAGTTCTCTAAAAGTTTTTTATATATTTAGGTACTCCAAATTGGGTGCATATATGTTTACCAGGGTTAATCTCTTGCAGGATTGATCCCTTTAGGATTATGTAGTGAACTTTGTTGTCTCTTGTGATGGCCTTCATTTTGAAGTCTATTTTGTCAAATATGAGTATTGCTACCCCAGCTTTTTTTTTTTTTTCCTGTTTCCATTTGCATGGAAAGAATTTTTTTAGCCCTTCACTCTCATCCTGTTTGTCTTTTGTTCTGAGGTGGGTCTATTGTAGATAACATATATTTGGGTCGTGTTTTTGTATCCATTCAGCTACTCTATGTCTTTTGATTGTAGCATTTAATCCATTTATACTTAAGGTTATTACTGACAGGTACTTATTGTCACTTTAACTCTGTATGCCTAGGTTTCTCTATTTCTTCTTCTCATTACAGCAGTCCCGTTAGCATTTCTTGCAACGCTTGCTTGGTGGTGATGAACTCATTTAGCCCTTTTCTTATTTGGTCTGGGAAGCTCTTTATTTCACCATCTCTTTTGAATGATAGCCTTATTGGATATAGTAATCTTGGTTTCAGGTCCTTGCTTTCCATCACCTGGAGTACATCATGCCATTCCCTTCTGGCCTGTAGAGTTTCTGATGAGTAATCAGGTGTCAGCCCTTACGGGAGCTCCTTTGTAGGTAACAAATTGCTTTTCTCTTGCTGTCTTTAAGATTCTCTCCTTGTCTTTAATTTTATGCATTTTAATTATGATGTGTCTGGGCATGGGCCTGTTTGAGTTCTCTTTACTTGGGATTTTATTTGTCTCTTGAACTTGTGTGACTTTTTCCTTCACCAGCTTAGGGAAGTTTTCTGACATGATTTCTTTTTTCTCTTTTTTTCTTAAATATATTTTTATTGATTTCAGAGAGGAAGGGAAAGGGAGAGAGACATATCAATGATGAGAGAGAATCATTGATTGGCTGCCTCCTGCATGCCTCCCTATTGGGGATCGAGCCTGCAACCCGGGCATGTGCCCTTGACCAGAATCAACCCAGGATCCTTCAGTCCGCAGGCTGACACTCAATCCACTGAGCCAAACTAGCCAGGGCTCTGCCGTAATTTCTTCAAACTTGTTCTCTATCCTTTGCTTGCTTCCTTCCCGTTCTGGCACATCTATGCAAATGTTACGTTTCATGTTGTCCCACAGCTTCCTTACGCTGTCCTTCTGATTTTTAATTGTCTTTTCTTTTGGTTCTCTGATTGAGTGATTTTTTTCTACCCTTTCTTCTAATTCAGCGGTCACCTACCTCTCAGACCTCACAGACCACCAGTGGTCCACGGGCCACCTGTTGGTGACTGCTGTTCTAATTCACTGATTTGATCCGCAGTTTCCCCTAATCTGCTGTTTTCTTTCCAATGTGTTCTTTATTTGTGCTGTGTCATTCTTTTTTTCATAATTACTATAACTTTTCTCATGCTGTTGAGCATCTTTACTATCATTATTCTAAACTCTATCAGATAAATTTCTTATCTCCATTTCATTTATCTCTTCTAGAGAATTATTTTGTTCTTTCATTTGGGAGGGTTTTTTGTTGTTGTTTTTTTGTCTCCCCATTTTGGCTGCCTGTTTGGGTTTGTGACTATGTATTGGGTAGAACGGCTACACCTCTCAATCTCTGGTGCAGGACAGTGTCAAATGTTTCTCTACTGCACCTTCTTGTCTTCCTGCACCAGGGGCCAGCCAGGGCCTGGCACACAGGGCAATGTGGATGTAGAAAGCTGTATCAGCTTCTGATAATGAGAGGGGCTGCTGGGGGTGGCTCCCCTCCCAGCCTCTCCAGAGTCTGAGCCCCACTTCCCATGAAGTACCTCTTGGCTAGTACTACTACAGCTGCTCCTATGGCTGTGTCCCACCTTCACCACACAGGACAGAGCTGGCTCCTGTGCATGGCCAGAGGCTACTGCCCCAGACTGAGAAGAGACACTCCCTGATTCATGCGGAAATGGGAGCTCCAAAGCAGGGTTGGTGGGTCCCCACTAAAGAGCTGGTTCCTTGCTCCCTGGCTCTTCCACAGCCACAGCCCCACATTTCACCCACTGGGAGGAGCAGGTGTATGAGGCCCCAGGAGTTGAGACTCAATTTACAGAACAAAAGGAATTCCAGAGCACTATTTTTTTTTTTAAGTTGACTTTTAGGGAGAGGAAGGGAAAGGGAGAGAAACATCTATGCTGCCCTAGCATTGGCCTGCGGACTGAAGGGTCCCTGGTTTGATTCTGGTTGGGCTGATTCCCAGTAGGGGATGTGCAGGGGGCAGCCAATCAGTGATTCTCTCTCATCATTGTTTCTCTCTCCCCCTCCCTTTCTCTCTGAAATCAATAAAAATATGTTTTAAAAAATTCTATGTTGCCTCTTACACGCCCCCTACCAGGGATCCTGCCCTCCACCCAGACATGTGCCCTGATCAGGAATTGAGCCAGCAACCATTTGGTGCATGGATGATGCCCAACCAACCGAGCCACACCAGTCAGAGAATCCAGCGCACTTTGAAGGACATTTATTTTGGTTCTTGACCAGTGTCCTCAGGACAAACAATTTGCAAAAATAATCTGTGGCTCAGGGTTTTTTGAAGAAACATT